TTGTTATTATTGTTATTATTATTATCATCACAATTATTATCAATTTTTAAAAGTATTATGTTAGTGTAATCTCCTCAATAAGAATCATACTCTTCATTTCAATTACACCTACCGTAAAAAGATTATAAACCAACAGTTAGCTCAGAGGGTACCAAACTGGAATATGGGCGATTGACCGTGGCTCAAATCTCCGAAGATAATATGTTCTAGACTTAAGTCTCTAAGTGGGTGGTTGGCGGGTGCTTGGGTGTGATTTGCTTCTTCTTTCCTATGAAACATATATCATCCTTATCTCCCCTTCTTTTTTATGTTTGTTACTTTCTTGTAACACCTCTAATTTTCTGGCTCTCATATGACCTTATGCAGTTGCGAGCGCCGTAAAACCTCTACTAAAACTAAAACTAAACAAGTCTCTAAACCTACTTGGTTCTGTAGGAGAGGGACGTTTTATTTGAAGGTCCCGTCAATAGACAGTTCTGATCAGATAATTGAAAAGGGGTGTTAAAACAAAGTGTGACGTTGCAAATACGAAGGAATTTCTCAATCGAAACTTAAAGATGATTGACTCTTAACAGAAGCCAGAGCTATTTATAGAGCTTGAGCCTAATTGGACCAGTGCGGCAATTCTTGTAAATGAGATGAAAAAATCACCATTTGGAATGTACGACAGATGACTCAAAAGATAAAAACACGAATAGCTTACGAAGAAAAAAGGGAATCTTTTCGAGAGCGTGGTTATTTTACTTTTTTTGTTTCCTTTTTAAAAAACAAAATCGTTCCACGTGCCACGCTTCCGTCAATTTTGCAGTTCTCCTAAGTACAGCCAAAGAGTCTACATAACAAGAGGGGCCACTTTCTGTTTGAGCCAATTAAAAAAGTGTCCTCAAAATTCGGTGGCGCCCTCTTCGCAAAAGCGAACAGAGTTACCCTACTTGAGTTTAAAAAATCAAAGTGAAACTAGCAAGTTACGCTGACAAAAAACCTCTTCCGGAGGAAAGGGTGATTGTTTTCTTCGTTTGATTTGACCATAGAATGAAAGGCGAGAGGTCATTAAAATAATTTTAAAAAAAACTAAAACTCCACACTGAACGAACCCGAACTGCTGATGAACAGCAGTTGATCTGCGCACGCAAGGAGGTGCTATTCCTTTTCTTTTTCTGGAAAAACGAAAGAGAGCTTCAAAACAGACTGCAGCGCCATCTGAAGCAAAGAGCGAACGTCCGACGGACACTTTTTGGGCTGAGTGGCCCATCTTGTTATGTACTATCTTTGGTACAGCAGAAAGAAGCGATTACTTAAACTTAACCCTTCCTCTTCTGTTAGCAAAATAATATGCTTAATAAATACAGCTTTCATGCCATAATGCTATGACGTGTGTGTATGTGTGTGTGTGTGTGTGTGTGTGTGTGTGTGTGTGTGTGTGTGTGTGGGGGGGTAATTTTTGTGTGGATTTGGGGTTTTTTAAAGTAATTATTGTGGCGCCATTGTGACACAGTTCTTCCGTGAAGGGGTCAGTACAGTTGTCTTTTCGGATTTTGTTGGGTTTTTTTTGTATGTATGTTTGTTTGTTTTTGTTGTGTGTGTTGTTGTTTGGTTGTTTGTTTGTTGTTGTTTTTGTTGTTTTTTTTTGGGGGGGGAGTATTTTAATCTTTTTTTATTACAAATTAATATAATGGCATCCTTTGGCTTTAACTTTTGGACAGCTTTTATTGTGTGTGCTTGTTTTTCATTTCGAACCTACCTGAATTGTGTTTCTCAACACAGCTACTGAAACGTGTGTTTGGCGTATATATCCTTGGTATATTTTGGTATGTTAAAAGCAAGTATAATATAGAACATTCACGCCAACAAGAAAGGGAAAGGGGAACATTCGGTGCTAATTTATCGACAGTACAACGTTATTGCACATGTCGACCTAGCAAATACTGTTACCCGCAAAGCCCTGTGGATATAAAAATGGATGAACTCACATTGGTGTGAAGTGAACTGTCGCCATATTGCCATTAAGTGACGAAAAGACAGGAAATAATCCTATAACGTGTAGGCTGATGGCACACATGTGGTTGTTAATATTGCGGTCTCCGTGAGCAATAAATTTACGCTCTGTGCATTTCGCTGTTATTGGAGATTTAGCCAAACAAAGTTATTAGGCCTCAACGAAAGGGCAGAGACCTACCGAACAGTGTAGGCCTACACTTCTGTTTACGTTCTTGTTTCTTTCTGGTTTCTTCTTTTTCTGCTTTTTTTCTATCTTTCATTCCTTTTTCCAGGGGGGGGGGGTTCCTATCTGTTGTCTTTGTTTTTTTAAAATCTTAACAAGGTTGTTGTTGTTGTTGTTGTTGTTGTTGTTGTTGTTGTTGTTGTGGTTGTGGTTGTGGTTGTGGTTGTGGTTGTTGTGGTTGTGATTGTTGTTGCTTCTTCTGCTGCTGATGATGTTGCTTGTTGTTATCGTTCTTGGTTGTTGTTGTTGTTGGTTGTTGTTGTTGTTGTTGTTGTTGTTCTTCTTCTTCTTCTTCTTCTTCTTCTTCTTCTTCTTCTTCTTCTTCTTCTTCTCCTTCTCCTTCTCCTTCTCCTTCTCCTTCTCCTTTTCCTTCTCCTTCCCCTTCCCCTTGCCCAATCCTATCAAATTGACACCGTCTGATTAGTATAATGTTGTGCATGTGAAGTGTTAGCTATAGTCCACACACAGTTCTGGTAAGATTAAAAATTTAGCACAACGTTTTTGGCCTACTTTTACAGAAAACTGTTTGTCTAGCTTCCATTCTGCTTACGTTTGTGTTTCTGAAGTATTATATTATAGCTCTATTGAAAGTCGTCGTATCAACTGTAAAGAAGAGACACTGAAACTATTATGCTCTCCAGAAGACAGCTGGGCCAAAGGAAAAGAAAAAATGTGTTTGAGGTCGCAAACAGTAAATTTGAAAGAAACTCTGACTTCCACAGTTCGTAGACGCATTTGTTATGCAGATCCGAACCTTACACTTCGATTGCAGGGCCTATATCAAGAAAATTTTGACCGAACAGGCATTGTATATGGTTATTTTAGTGACGATGCGATTTTATCAGCAATATGTCCAGTTGGTTTTTAATTAAGTCTTTCCCTCGTGTTGGGCGTAGAGGAGGAGGAGTAGCATTTATTTTTAGAACTAATTTAGCACAAGTTACTGTGAAAAAGATTCCCTGTCACTCATGTGAGGCTGCTTTAATGTCCTTCCAGCTGCAGTCCCAAAGCATTACCATCTGCTGCATATACAGGCCACCACCGAGTAAAGCAAATTATATCAAATCATCCGTTTTTATAGAGGAATTTCTAAATTTAATTTCATCTCTGAAGATGAAAAGTACACCATTCATTATAACTGGCGATTTTAATTTTCATTTTGGCTCTGAAAACCCTGTCACTAAAAATATAAGCAACCTGCTGACAGAAAATGATTTAAAACAACTCGTACAAGTACCAACACATAAAAGTCAGCACATCCTAGACTGGGTTATCTCTCCTATTGAAAAGAACTGTGTGAAAGGCATAAACGTTCTGGACAAAGACATTTCCGATCATTATCTTCTTATTGTTGACTTGAACATCAAAAGACCAAGGAAAGAAATAAAAACAGTTAATTCCCGAAATCTGAACGATATAAATTTACACCAGTTTCAATGTGACTTCCGTGATGCTCTTGCTATTAGTTCCCCTTTTAATATAGAAACCCTCAATACCATCATGAGGAATATTTTAGATGATCATGCTCCACTTAAAAAACGAAAATTATCTCATCGACCTGTTGGTAGGTGGTTTAATTTAGAAATAAAGGCTGCAAAAAAAGAAAAAAGACAAGCGGAAAGAAAATGGAGAAAAACACGACTTGAAGTGCATAAGGGAATATTTATTACTATGAAGAATTCTGTTAGTAAAATGATTACCAAAGCCAAGCGTACTTTCTTTTTGTCAAAATTTGAAAATGTTAAAACTTGTAAGGAACTTTTTGATGTCTCTAGTGAACTGCTTGGCAACCAAAACAGAGCTGTATTACCCCCTGGCACCGATAGAGATCTTTGTAGTAGTTTTTCAGACTTTTTTTCTTAAAAAATCACCTCCATCAGACAAGAGCTCGATAAAATGTGCGCAATTGCCCCAAATTACCATCAGTTTAAAGGGTTAGTCATCAATTATTTTACTCCAGCAACGGAAGAAGAAATCAAAAAGATCATATTAGATAGTCCATCAAAAAGTTGAGCCTTAGACCCTATGCCCACCAGCCTTTTAAAAAAAATGTTTGCATGAACTTCTTCCACATATCACCCAAATTGTAAATGATTCTCTCCTCACAGGCACAGTACCAAATTGCTTTAAGACAGCCCATATTAGACCCCTTTTGAAAAAATCTGGACTTGATGAAAAGGACTTTAAAAATTTTAGACCAGTTTCAAATCTGTCTTTCCTTTCCAAAAT